ACTTTTTATACCCAAGTGTCTAAATTTAGATCATACCATTGGATCATATTTAAACTTATCTCATTAGTTAGCTCATGAAATAAGCTTCGTGTAGAAGCTTGAATCACTCCAATCAGACGTCATATGGGGAAACGGCACATGCTAGAAGTTCACATCTATGAACTATCATATGATAGTAAAATACTGTCATTTGCGCCATGGCGCATGGTGTCCATGCCGAGGTGCATGGCACAGACAAGGAGTCTGTGGCTCTATGCCACATGCTGCGGTGCATGTGGTGCATACCACAGCACATTGCCCCTATTATGTTATAGTTTGTTCATTTTCAAAGCATATATTAAAGTATATGAATGCAAACTTCTTGCTTTAGTTGTGCATTGTGTGATATGAGGTTGGTTTCAAATGATTTTAATAAGTAAGTCTTTGGTTCCCAAGCTTTTTTATACAAAGTATTTCTTGTTGATTCCTGTTGTGAGGTGGTGACTTAGCTAACCCCTTCCAATATTAAGTAGGTATTGGGAGTGGTTACACCTATCCCACCCAACTTCCTATTCTTCTAAAAGATTAGCAGTCATGACCCTATTAATTGGTTTGGGCTACCCATCCTTTACCAAACTTGATTGGGCAAGACCGAGGACCGAGCCAAGGGACACCCTAAACTCCTTATATACAACATATGCTTGTAGTTACAATAAATGATTTATGAGTGAGAAGGTTGCATGATTCTAGGTGATAGTTTATTTTATATGTTGCTGCTTAAGATTTTCACGGAAGCCTCCTAGGAAGCCAAAGTGAAACACATATAAAAGATAAAATGAAAACATCAAGTTATTTCACATTTTATCACCAAATCAAAATTCCTATAATTGATTTATGACTAAATCAATTATAAGAAAAATATACTCAATAAAGTAAACTGTACAATTTGAAGAGTGATATCTTCTCTATATTCATATTGAGAAACCAAGAAATATAGTCTTACACATTGCAATAGTGACCGCGTGAGAGTTTAGAGTAACTTTTTATTAAAAAATACTACTACGGTTAAAAAAAAAAACAAACAAACAAACACTATTAAGGTGTTTCCAAAAAAAAAAAACTATTAAGGTTTGGGCGTGATTTTATGTTACATCTGCTATACAAATATTTTTAGTTCCTTCTTCTATATTTATTGATTATCAGAAATACTTTTATTAAATCATATCTTTCAATTCCAAAACTAAAAAGTATACTTTTTTATGTAAAGCATGACCTCGTGAAAAAAATTTAATAAATTTTTTGATGGAATTCATATAATATATTGAGATTGAATCCTCCTTTAAAAAAAAAACTTGTTTGTGAATATACATTTACATGAGAAAATATTATGTCATGTTTCCAAAATATAAACAATTGGCCTTTATATGAATTATCGGCTGGGCTAAAGATTTAAATCAATAATTTTTGTTTGTTTGGGTGCACTAAAACATTATTGAGTTTCTTCAAAATTAACTCATATCATGTACGAAGGCTCCCTCTTGGATCCTCATCAACTCCTGGGTTTAACTGTGTTGGACGAGAATGTATTGACACTGGAAAGTAAAAGCACATATTATAATGTTAAATAGTTTAATGCGATACAATTACATCACATCAAAAGGAATTGAAACCATGTAGCTATACATTGTTTCAAAATTCAAACTAATTAAGTCTTGTAAGTTTGAAAAAAAAAATTCTGCCGTAACATTTATAATAGGCAGCACTATTTGCTGAAGAAATGTTTTTATAACTGTAGAAAAACAAGAACCTACATTTAATTCATGGTTGCAGAAAAATATTTTCCCATTTAATGACTCCAAATATAATGGAGGCTAAAAGGAAATATTGTTCTCTCTTAACAGCTCCTGTGTTTCCTAACAAATTGTTCTCTCATACACTACTACAAAAGATACTTTTAAGAGCATCCATTTAGGAGCATTTTAAGAAAAAGCACTTCTAAAAATTTGATGTGGAACCTTTCGAAGCGCTTTTTTAAAGAGCACTCTTAAATCATAACATATGGGAGCACTTATAACTAAAAGCGCTCCCTTAGATAATAAGAGGAAAATCTAAAAAAAATATAATAGCTTACAAGAGCGCTTTTATAAGAAGCACTCCCAAAGGCTACAAGAAGAAAATTTTTAAGAAAATAATCACAGCATATGGGAGTGCTTTTATGAAAAGCGCTGCTGTAAAATTAAGAATGACAACCTATGGGAGCACTTTTTATAAAATCACTCCCGTAGGTTTTTAAAATAAAAAAGAAATTATAACAACATAAACATAACATCATACAGGAGCGCTTTTTAAAATAAGCGCTCCTGTTAACCTTACATTACAAAGTGCTTTTTGTAAAAGTGCTATGCTATAACTTAGTTTTTTTTTTTTTTTAAGAAACCCTATAACTCAATCTAGTTGTCCTTCTTTCATTTGCAAGTCTATATATCTCCCTGTTCTCCTTCCGTCGAAGTTGGCCACCAAGCTCTTTGTTTGTCCATGCCATTGTTCTTCATCGTTATAGTTCATGTTTGACTCTTAATGTGTTGTTTACCTTCATAAAAGAAGAAAATTTTTAACAATATTTGAGTGAATAAGGATATTTTCAAAAAGATAACTTGCACCGGTGTTAGTGAAAATAACACTGAAGTTACATGATCAATAGACATCCTTGTAAGAGAATAGAAGAGACAGTACCAGTGCTATGCAATTAGCACTGGTGTTACAAATAAAGTTTATAATTTAGTACAGGTGCTATTGGATAGTATAAGTGTAATCTTAACTCTAACAAAGACACAATATGAGAACAAGACAGGTTTTATATAAAAAGTACTAATGCAAAGAAGAGTGTTCAAATGATAGAGGATCATTTGCATAGATTCAAAGGGATAACACCAGTATTAGAACAAGTAGAACCAGTGTTAGATGGAAATCGGAACAAGAAAGCGCAAAGAAATAATTCAAGTAGCATCGATGCTAAGGTCATAGTACCGATGCAAAGGACACTTAGAAACTATTTTAGAACAAGATTGCATCAAGATGCATCAAGTATATAGAATATAGTTAAGTCAAATACTTAACCATCATAGGGGTACTTAGATAGATATATTTTTGTTACACGGATAAGCTAACATTTAGTTAGTTTAGATTAATGTTAAGCCAATCAACTTTGGTTATGATTAAATAACCTATAACGGACAAATTTCTCTTTATTTTGTAATCATCAAAATCAAAGTTCAACAATTATAACATGGGCGTAGTAGAAATGAAAGGGTCTTGCAAGGCACCTTCAATTGAGCTACAAGTTGATGGTATAATTCGACCACCATATGAGATTCCTCAAATGAACAGAGCTTCTCAAATGGGTCCAAGTTGCAAACGTGAATGCCTTCACATTATCAGGTAGAGGTACCTTTGATGGACAAGGTCCAACTGCTTGGAAACAAAATGATTGTGCGCAAAATGTGAACTGTAAAATGCCTACCATTGTAAGTCATTTATATACATGTCCTATATAATTCAAATGATACATTGAACTGTAATTATGTATAGAACCAACATGTTGAGTTTTGTTGGGAAATGAACAGAATTTTGGTTTCGCTTTGATCAACAATTCTTGTACTAGTGATGTAACATCAAAGGATAGAAAAAACTTTGACGTCAATGTTCTTTCTTGTCACAATCTCAACTTTGATGGCTTCAAAATCAACGCACCTGAAGATAGCCCTAACACTAATGGAATCCACATTGGAAGGTCAAATGGACTGTGTGTGTGAGAAACACTGTGATTGGTACTGGTGATGATTGTGTCTCATTGGGCGATGGCAACAAAAACATAACTGTGGAAGGTGGGACTTGTGGACCTGGTCATGGCATTAGTGTTGGAAGCCTTGGAAGATACAATAATGAAGCTCTTGTAGTTGGGGTCATAGTAAAGAATTGTAATCTTACAAACACAAATAATGGTGTGAGGATCGAAACATGGCCTGGTACACCTGGAGCTATTAAAGTCACCAATATGCATTTTGAGGATATTGTAATGAATAATAATATCTCCAACCCGGTGATCATAGACCAAGAGTACTGCCCCTGGAACTAGTGCAACAAAAAGGTGTTTAATTTAAATTTTCTAAACTGCATTTTTCTTTATAATTAATTATCACTCTTACAAAGATTACTACTAAAGTTTCTTGCTCATATTTTGCTCTATTAATTATTATTTTTGGTGCATGCTTTCAATGGTTTTAGACCCCTTCAAAGATAAAGACAAGCAATGTACCTTTAAAGAACATTAGGGGCACTTCCAGAATGGCAGAAGGAGTTACTTTAATCTGCAATGCTGGTGTACCATGTGAGAATGTGGAGCTAAGTGACATTAACCTCACATTTAAGGGAGATAAGGCTAAATGTGCTAATGTTAAGCCCACAGTTACGGGGAAAGTACCTGCTTGTTCAGCTTAAGAGTCAAACGGCCCCGCCGATTGATTTATTGTAAATTCATAAATTAATGTATCAAATGTTCTTGCAACTAGTTTTGACCTTTGATTTAGGAAGGATTGTTTTTTCTTTTTTATGTGGTATGCCTTGCTTTATTTATTTTTTAAAAAAATTTGGCCAGCTTTGTTGGAGTTAATTAAAATATTTTTATATTTAATAGCGCAATACTACTCTGTTGATTCGCTTTATTTTTAGTAATTAATCAGTAACTGCAATTTCAAAATCTTATTACCTGAAAGACAAGTTCGAAAGAAAAAAACAACACTCCTTTAGATTGGACATTGGGAAGTCAATGATTAATGACCTTCACGTTCTCTCTCTTCTCCACCATTTCGGATCACCACAAGACTTTTTCCCATCTTTTGTTGACCACACAAAAGCCCACCAGCCAACCAACCCTTTTTTCTTGTGTCTTTGCTTTCTAGGCTTTCTTTGTCTTTCTCTTTCCTGTTTTCTGTGTCTTTCGAAACACCGAGATCGATCAGATTCCCCCTTTGCAATTTGAATCATCTGCTTCATTGTTACTCTCACACTGTTGCATGATTTTCTGTCTGAGAGTTTTGGTCCAGTGTTTAATTTAATTTAATATTATACGTTACTGTTGATGAGATTGAAGTTGGAAGAAGCAAATGGGTTTTGATCATGAAGAGAAGGAAACAAAAACTGGAGGAGAAAATGAAGAACATGATAAGAGTAGTGAAGGTACGAACATGAACAAAAAAGCGAGTGAGTCTTCTGTTTCTGTAACAGAGGAAGAAGATGATGACGATCCAAGAGCTAAACTAGAGCTGGGTCCTCCATGTTCTCTTAAAGATCAGCCCGAGAAAGATAAGGTTTGCATTATTGCATCATCATTATCTTCACAAATATTATAGCTTTGAGGTTTCTCATTTTTTTATCGGGTTAAACATCATCCCCCCAACCTCCAAACTTATTTTTGAAGAGCATTAGGCACCCTATACTGAAAAGTGGGACAATTTCATCTCCTAAACAATTTTTTCTGCAGCAAAATTGCCCTTCTATCAAAGATCCATTATCTTCTTTGTTATCTACTAATGTGAAATAGTTATAGGGCCTATGCATAATAACATCAAGGCATTCTGACCCATTTTAACTATTTGACACAAGCCAAAAGAGTTGGGAGTAACAATTATAGTAGCAGGAACCAGATTTTATTTTAGTGACAAAACTGCGGCCAAATAAGTTAGAATGCCTTGTTGTCACTATGTGTAGGCCCCACAACTGCTTATTATCAGTAAATAATAAAGAAGATGACAGGTCTTTAATAAAAGAGTAATTTTAAGAGGGATATTGCCGACCTTTTAGTTTAAGTGCTCAGTGCTCCTCAAAAGAAAATTTACTAGGTGAAATGTCTTTAACCCTTTTTCTACAGAGGACCCATCAATATCATGTTAATGTCTAACATGCTTTTAATTTAAGTGAAAATTATTCACAACAACGAAATTCAGAAACTATTTATTTATAAGGATCAAGTTTAAATATTTAACGCTCAAATTATCAAAAATTATGACTGTCCGTTCAAGCATTTAAATATTAGAGATAATGCAAATTTTAGTCAGTTATTGATTTGGTCGTGTAATATTTATAATTTAAATCCCTAAAATTTTATAACCATGCATAATTAGTTCTTAACTTCCCATGGTGTTATTTTTTCTTTAAACTTTTTGGGATTTGAGTGACAAATATTAAGTTTCAGGGATCAATTGATAATGGAGATAACTCCTTGGGGACCTTTCTTTGTCAATAAATTTTAAATTAAAAAGACTATTTTACCCTTCTTGATAAGTTATGATTTTTTGTTCAATTTTTACGATTCTTTGAATAAAAGTTGCGATTCTTTAAATAAAAGTTGTGAATGGAATTTGTTATTTTGAGAACTTATTTTTTAATAATAAAAAATACATTTGACAAATTGTGATTTCTTGGTCAACTCTTATGATTCATGGAACAAAGTTATTATTCTTTAAGCAAAAGTTGTAATTGTTGAGGCTTGTTTTTCAATAATAAAAATTACATTTGATAAATTATAATTTTTTATTGAACTTTCGTAATTTATCTAACAAAAGTTGTGATTCATTAGGCAAAAGTTATTACTGGGACTTATTATTTTTAATAAAGATAAAATAATCTTTTCACTTTAAAATTTATTGACACTGAAATCCCTAGGAACTTCATTGAAATTATAACATTTTTAAGGATCAAATTATCATTTATATAATTTAGAGGGATATTTATTATTATTTTCCCAAAAAACAGTGCGTCTCCTATCACTACTGAACATCGAAAGAGATCGAAGACAATATTGTCCTTCAACGGTTTTCTTTGATGTATATGTTGCTCATTGCTTTATTATATTTTTAATTCCTTTGTGGTTGATGGTTGAGAATACAGGATGATGAAAGTCTTAGGAGATGGAAGGAACAACTTCTTGGGAGTGTAGATATGAACAACGTTGGAGGTACGGTTTCTCTTACCACTAGGTGGTATAATTTAATTAATTTGAAGCACTCGGTGTATTTTTTTTTTCCCTCATTTTAATCTGTTTCTTTTGTGAGTGTATTAATTTCATATTATAAATTAGGTGGCTTTGCTTGTTAAAGTAATGATAGCCATTCAAAATGAGTTATCTTTTTAATTAATTTCTTTTACCTTTTTGCTTTGTATATTCCTTAGACAAAAATAAGGGAGAATGACAGTTAAGGCTCAAACGACTAATTAGTTCAAGTTAAGTCCCAACAAATTTTAGAATGTCAACAAAGTTCCTTTATTCTTTAGTGATAATAAGTATAATAGGGATTTGCAAATATTTGCAAGTTCAGCTCCTAATTTTAAAATTTCATTATGATGCATTTTCAACTTATGTTTCAAATTTTCACAGAAAATATAAATGGTCATATTTAACATCGAGAAATATTAAGTCTAATAATTTGAAAAATTTGCAAGTTTGACTCCTTATTTTACAACTTTATTGTGATATATTTACAACTTATTTCTTAACTTTAATAGATAACACAAATGTTCATCTTTAATATTGAAACATATTAAGTCTAACAGCTCCAGGAATTTACAAGTTGGGTTCTCATTTTTACAATTTTATTGTAATGAATTTATAACTTGTTTTTCAAATTTTAATAGGAAACACAAATGTTCAAATTTAATGTTAAAAAATATCAAGTCTTTTGTTTGTTCTTTGCCTATTTCTTATTTATCAATAATATAAATTAATAGATCCTTCATTTCTCTGGTGGCTAGTGTTTATTCTTCAATCTTGTTAAAATTTAAAAATAAGTTACAAGTGCACCACAACAAAGTTACAAAATTGAAAGTTGAACTTATAAAGTTATAAAGATATTAGACTTATTACCACTGAAGGACTAAAAGACTTTGTTGACATTATAAAATTTGTTAGGATTTAACTTAAATTAATTAATCCCCTTAAGAGTTAACTATCATTCTCCCTAAAACCAATAGCATCAGGAATTTTACGATATCTCTTTCTCATTCAAGGAAAAGTCAACGAAATTTTGCCGATATAGTTGACCTAACTTGTGGTTCGAAAGAATCTGGTGAGCTAATAATGGTCGTGAAGAGTGTAGAGAAAATAAATAAATAAATAAATAAATAATAATCCCACATCATTTTTATTTTAATGTAGTCGTGGCAAAATCCTTGAGATGAGATGAACCCATATCTTTGGGTTCCATTTGGTATGGTCGATGGAAGAATTTTAAAGGAAATAAATTAAAATAGGAAAATGAATTTGAATATGAAAAGGAATTCCTTAACTGTTTTCATTTTTTTTTTTTACGTTAATTCCTCAGTGATTAGAGGAAAAAGAAAGGTAAAGTTATGGAGTTAAAATTCTATCAAAATCATGCAAATAATACAGTTATAGCTAGGTCCCATTTCACTTCATATCCTACTATTATGTTTACCTCTCTTTAATTCTAACAACCGTATAGGGTTGAAAATGATCTTAATCTTAGTGAGTTCCATCTATATATCTTTTTGCAAATGATACAAACTGAATTAGCTAGATATAAGGGAGAATATCAACGAAGAACCTTAAAAGAACTTAATATCTGACCAAAATTTCAAACAAATATACATTAACAATTAAAAATTGAAATTATTAGCAAGAATGATAAAGAGGTTCCAAAATAATCAATTAATTTAACTTAGATCCCAAGTATCAAATTTTAGAAATTTGCAAATTCAATTCTTAATTTTACAACTTTGTTGAGATGAATTTGTAATTTGTGTTTTAAATTTTAATAGAAAAAATAAATTTATTTATTCTTTAATCATATTAAAATTTGAAAAATATGTTACATCACAATAAAGTTGCAAAATTAAGAACTAAACTTGCAAATTCCTAAAATTTGACACTCAGGATCTAGGTTGAATTAATTGATCCTTTTGAGACCTCTCTATTATCCTACCAAATTATCATTTTAGCAATTACCTGATCCATTCAAGTCCTTATTAAATATTAAATTCTTTCAAGGGTTACTCATTGATATTCCGAAGAATGATAGAGAGGTTCCAAAAGGATCAATTAATTCAAGTTAGGTCTCAAGTGCCAAATTTTAAGAATTTACAACTCAATCTCTCAATTTTACAACTCCGTTATGATGAATTTGTCAATTTAATTGTATTCCAAATTTTAACAAGGAAAATAATTTTTTTTATTCTTCAATCATGTTAAAATTTGAAAAAACAAGTTGCAAATTCATTACAATGCTATTGCAAAATTAAAAGATTGAGTTGTAAATTTCTGAAATTTAACACTTAAGATCTAACTTGAATTAATTGATATTTTTAAGACCTCTTTATCATTCTCTCCTGATATTTCTCCAAATAATATTTTTTTCTGTCTACTATGATGTTTGTACTGTTCATATTCTCTTGTTGTGCATGTATCCCATGATTGATTTGATGGTTTGTCTTTGAATTCATCAGAAACTCTTGATCCTGAAGTGAAGATCACAAGTCTGTCAATCATATCTGCTGAGAGAGATGACATTGTTCTTCCAGTCCCTGAAGATGGGAACCCACAAGGATTATGGTTTACTCAAAAAGAAGGAAGCCATTACCGTTTAAAATTCACCTTCCAAGTCAGCAATAATATTGTATCTGGCCTTAAGTACACCAATACTGTCTGGAAAACTGGTCTCAAAGGTACGTGTATATATTTTTTATTTCTCTATCTTTTGTTGCAAATCATTCTCAACATATTGTATGTTTAGTACAAAATGAAATTGAAAGGAATGAGAATGAGAAAACTCTATGATATATAATAAATATGAGAATATAACCAATATGGGTTAATCTTAGTAGAATGGACTATGATTGCTTAAGAGGTGTCAAGTTTGGGACTAGAATGTGAATTCAGAAAATGATTTTAGGGGGGGAAAAAACTGCATCAAATTAGGCTCGACAATAATTCAATTTGACCCAATTAATTAAATAGTTATATAAAAATTGAGAATCTAACTTTCTAAAAAATTCATCTTGACATCTAGCAAATGCAACAAAAACACTTTCACTCACCTTCCTTTTTGATATAATTTTTTCCATATGTACCAGTCTTTGCACAATAACTTTTAAATTGCCCGGAATTTCTTTGAATTTTGCCACATGTATGCAAAATGAGTTTTTAGAACTAGCTTTTAAAATTTTGCAATAAATATTTATAATCCTTTGAATTATGTGAATAATCATCTAACAATATTAGTTCTCGTTTTCTAAGACTTTATTTGTTGTATAAATAATCCCTTTTAATTTTCGTTTGAAATGTCATTTTTAATTCAACTTAAATTCTAAATGCCAACATTTGAAAATTTGCAAGTTCAACTATTAATTTTGCAATTTCATTATAATAACTTTACAACTTATATTCTAAATTTTAACAGAGAAAACAAATTTATTTATTTTTCAACTATGTTAAAATTTAAAAAAAAATTATAAATTCATCATAATGAAATTATAAAATTATGAATTGAACTTGTAAGTTTTTGAAAGATAACACTTGAAACATGAGTTGAATTAATTAGTCCTTTTGAAACATCTCTATCATCCTCCTGTAGATAATCCCCCTTTAGTTGGATCATACATATGACGATAAGTCCTCCTGCATTCCCACACATTCTAATAATAAAATAATCAATAACAAACTAATTTATGACAGGAACGTCACCTAAAATTTAGAAGGCATATCTAAGATTTCAATGTCAAATTTACTATACTCCCATAATTTTACATAGTAGTCGCTTCTTATTGCCTTACCAAAATTAAAAGAGCTACTTAAATTCATGTTGTTTGGAGAAAAATTCTCATTTTAGTCTTATTAAATGCATCATTTTTAAACTGAACTATTGGAATTGAGAGTGTTGTTGTTTCAGTGGACACCACGAAAGAGATGATCGGAACTTTCAGTCCTCAGGCAGAGCCTTACGCACACGAAATGCCAGAAGAAACAACACCTTCCGGCATGTTTGCCAGAGGAACTTATGCAGCAAAATCCAGGGTTAGATAATTAATTAATAATTAAGAGCCCAAAATTGTGTGTGTGTGTGTGTGTGTGTGTGTGTGTGTGTTAATTAAGAAAACTTTCTCTTTCTCTCTCTCTGTTTGTTTTTTTTTTTTTTGGTTTATATGTGTTTTCTGTTTTGCAGTTTGTGGATGATGATGACAAATGCCATTTGGAGATAAACTATAGTTTTGATATCAGGAAGAACTGGGCTTGACTGCACTATCAGATTCTATTTGTTTAATTAGTTGGTTTGAGGAACTTTGGGCACCTTAGAATTTTTTTTTTTTTTTAACTTGCAATATGCACTCCATATTAATTTTGAATGCATAATTAATTAATAGAGAAGAAGAAACGTGTTTTTTTGGTAGCTGATCTAATTAATAAAAGGTCTTAGGATTGATCATTTATTAATAATAAATCTCCTAGTTCCTTTATTTATAAGTAGATTAAGTCTTCTCACCAGTGAGTGTCCCATGTGACATTAAAATCATCGATTTTTTTTTTTTAACAAAAAGCAAGCCAATTTTATTGATTATCAAAAGAAATTACACTCACTAATATCAAAAAGCAATAAAAGACAGTAAACCTTTGTTATAACCTAAATGCAAAAGAAAACTAGAAAAAAAGAGTCCAAACAAATACCAAAAAAACAAAAATACAAGCACCAAAACAATTATCCCATATCAGTCCGAATCAAACCAGACTCAAAGACATCAAAAGTCTTCTCACGTCGCTTACTTTTGCCCAATAGATCAGCCAACAAAACATCAGATTAAGGAGGTGTTGCTATTGAAAGCCACCCATTAGGAATCAACTCCTTTGCACCAAAAGTAGCTAACATATCAGCAGCATTATTTCCTTGGCATGAAACCAAAGAAAAGGAAACATTTGACTTAGCACTTATAAGCAAAAGCAGCTCCGATAATAAAGCCTTGCAGCACCAATCACAACCCAAAAAAAAAAAAAAAACATGCATTAAGAAATTTAAAAAGTAATTCGCAATCAATTTCAAGACAAACCTGTCCATCAAATCTATCACAAATCTGTAAAGCCTCCTTAGCTGCAAGACATTCAACCATAAAACTATTTACAGCCTTTACTCGTTTATTCTTTTCAACTTACCACTTCACATTCTAGTCCCCATTAGGAACACAAACGAGGGTTTATATTTCAGACTACAGTCTTTCAAATTTTTAACTGTCAAGGCCACCCTCATGCCTTGACAGTTCCAAGATATAATTTTCACAACGATTTGGGGGCTGTTAAAGGCCAGCCACCCTCGCCCTCAGTCAAATTCCTTTTAGCATCCTCCAGAAAATTAAAAACAATACTTCCATCACTTCCCATCACATTCACAAGAATTTCATCAAGACAGCCACGTTTTTTCTTCTTCTCCACTTTATTTTTCCAACACATTTTTTTCTTTAGAGGCTTTATTTTTTAATTGTTCTTTTTTCAACTGCAAGGCATAATTAGATAGTGTCAAGCCTGCACAACCAATTCTGTATGTTTCTTCTTCACCTCTGCTTCCAATAATTCATCAGCATCCCTCTTCAACTTAATCTCCTGCAATTTCTCTATAATTTACAAAACTGTTCCAGCACCTGAAAAAGGAACAATAGCTAGAGAGTTTCCTTATCATCAACCTCACACCGATTAGGGATTATGTCAAAATTTTCCAATCCATTCAATTCATGAACTTCATCGATCAACCCTTCTTGCTGCATCCCACTACATCCCAAAACTTCTTAATCACATGCAAACCCCCTGGGCCCATCACTTTTTCTCTGACAATCATATTGACATTAACCATATTATCAATCATCGAATCACCAACCCCATCCTCTACTACTTCCGTACTTTGAAAATGGGAACACCGAGACTCTCTCACAATCTCCTTTAGTTTATCAGCAACCACAGCCCTGCTAACTACCTCCTGCTTACTCAAAAAACTCTTGAGGATAGAATGATTATTAATAAAGTGTTTTGGATAAAATATGATAGGTTAAAAAATTTTAATTGTATGGTTGAAAATAATGTGTCGAAAAGAAGATGTTATCTTAAATAAATAGGTTGATATGGCTAAAGCATTATTGAGATCTTATCTAAACTCTGAAATTATTAAAAATTATAAAATTGATATAATGATCCTAAATTTTAAATTAAATAAAATTTTCTTCAATAAATATTTTATTTAAACAAATATTATAGTAAAAAAATTGGTTTTAAATTATAAAAAAATTTTATACCTTTTTATATAATTTTTTGTGCTCTTTCTTAAAATCTTTTCAAAAATTTTTGGACTAGAAATTTTTTTAAAAAGAATATCCTCACCGTCATTCGAACTTCATAGAACCTGCTAGAAACAGATTTATTTATTTCTCTCCTGTCCGATTTCACGTTTTACATGAGCTGAGAGAGCATGACAGGTCGAAGATTTGAGAACCTTCACCCTCAGCTCTTCTTGGATCCCACCGACATTCTCCACACTTTCCCTTCAGTCTTCAGCATCGCCGGCGTGGTTGTGTTAGAGAGCGCCGTCCGTTGCTGTTGCCGAGAGCTTCTCCTCTTCCCTGCTCTGCCTTTGTTCAGTTCGACCCCTGCACGTGCGTCTGTCTTGGTTGCTGTCCGTTCTTCCTCTTTCTCCTCCGCCAGTCATCTCACTGTCGTCGACAGGTGCAACGGCTCTGTTTCCCTTGCTGGTGTGAAGTTCCACTGTGAGTTTTCTCCCTTGGTCGTCTTTGTTCGCTATTTGTGTGTGTGCCACTGTTTGTTCTTCTTCCTCCTTGCTTCTTCTCGCCGGAAACAGTGATATCCTATTTGAGCTGATATGGTTTAGTGTACCAAGTTCCTTTCCTCATCGCCGCTGTGTGTGTGTGTGTGGGGGTGCGAGACGTCCGTCAGCTGCAGCAAGGAGTTTAGAAAAAGTCACGATCTCTTCCTCCCTGTTTTTGCGTTACAGTCGATCTATCCTCCTCCCTACCGTTGCATCGTTGCTGTGCTCGTGAGTGTGACAAGATTCTTCATCCTCCTCCCCTGTTCTCCCTTGTTCGTGCGTCGGCCCCTTTTGCCTGGTCATGCTTTGAGACATTCAAACCTCTCCTTCTCCTCTGTTCTTGCCAAGGTGCGTTACAGACTTTTCTCTTCCTTTGATGTTGTGCCGTGCTGTACTGGTGCAGTAGAAGGAGTTTTGACTTCTTTCCTTTATTTCTTCTATGCTCTTAGGGTGCGTATTGTTCCATTTTCTTTCCTCTACCTTGGAAGACCTGTGTATGTGAGTGGGTGTAGGGAGTATGAAATTTCTGAAATTTTTCTTCCTAGTTCCGTGGTTCTTCATGAATGTAAGGAGGTGAGGATTTAGTCAGGCTAAATATTCATGTTTTTAAGAGCACATTTTTAATAGGTGGTTTGACTTGAAAAATCTGATTACTATAAGAGAGAAATGAGTTGATTTTCTTCAAGCTTGAATCAATTTTTCTTGGAGATAGAGATTGATTTTATTTTAGGAATAAAACTCAGGAAGTTGAATGATTTTAATAATTAAATTGGAGAATTTTTGAAAAGGAAATTTAAGAGAGAGAAAATTGGTATTATAAATGAGTATTGATGTCTGTAGGAGAGATTTTGTTTAGTTATGTATTTTTTAAAATCTCATTAAATATCCTGAAATATATATATATATATATATATATAAAAACTAGTTTGGATGCTATTATTTTGTGAATTGAGCTTGCCATTGTGAAGAAATTGGATTATGTAACCTATTTAGTTTGGATATTATTTAATTATGAATATAATTTGAGTTTTGCAAGAAATTTGTTAATAAGGTTGCTAGTGTGTAATTAGTTAGATTCTTGAGAGTTCTATGGTTGGGTAGGTGTGGGTATATAAAGTATTGAAAGGATTGAAGAATTTGAGGCTTGGTTGATTTAATTATGATAATTTAGAGCCCGACTGATTAGGGTGTTGTCAATATTAAAAGATAGTTTATTTAATTGGAATCAGACCATTAAACCTTCCTTTTATATTGGATAGGGTATTTAGAGGAAGGAAGAGTTTATTAGAGTTGTAAGAAGTGAATTATGAATCTTGCGAATACTATAGGTAAGTGGATAGCGCCCCAACTGATTTTTTTTAGTCAAAATTTCTTTTACTGTAATATTTCATTTTTTTGAAAATTATTTTAATAGAATTAATGCAATTATTGAATATTTGTTGATTAATATTAATTTATTTTGAGAAATTAGCTTCACCAAATTTGAAATGTTATTTGATCAATTAAATCAAGTTTAGACTTTGATTATGAAATTTTTATTTTATCAAATATTGAATTGATATAGAGAATGATTCATGCAAGTTCGACTTTAAAAATTTATTTTTGATTATTCGATAAATGCACGCATGAGCATTAGATATGAAATTTTATTTTGGCAAGTTTTAATGCTTAAAAGTATTCATGCGAGTTTGATTTTGGGAATCAGAACTGTATTTTGAAAGTGATGATTCTCTCGCATGTTTGAAAATGGTTTTAAAAAGAGACTGTATACAAAACACTAGTTGCTAACGGCAGTTTCGTTAGCCCTTGGCGCGCCATGATACACCTAGCTAGCAGAGTATTTATAGCAGGTGCTAGCCCCATGCGATGGCCAACGCACGTGAAATGGAGAGATGGTTATTCGTGAGCGTCGTACTCACGTTTGTTTCGTGGCTTTAAGCTGCGTTTGGTTAGCATTACCCTCATGGACTGTGTGTCCATGTTTGTTTCGTGGCTTCGGCTGCGTTTGATTACTTACCCTTGTGGACTGTATGTGTCCATGTTTGTCTTCGTGGCACAAGCTGTGTTTAGTTATTTACCTTCGTGGACTGTGTGTTCATGTTTGTTAATTGTTCTGATAAGTCTCTATAATTATGAAACCAATCATTTGATGATTTCATATTTTATTGGTTTTTATTTAGTAATTTATTTATAAATATTTATTTCATTTATGTGTTTTCTTGAAATCAAGTGATATTATCATTTTCTATGATAGTTCAATGATTTGAGATTTTATTTAAAATTTATAGAGCTATTTTATTATAAAGTTTATAAAATTTTTACGAAAAATTTTGTCTATTTAACTTACATAATTATTTTAAACTTTTCATTTTATTTATATTCTATTATTTATTATTGGGACGTTATTCACTGGAAAAGATATTTTGGTCTCAGATGGTATAGTTGAACTCGTGATTCGAGATATCTACTGATAAGTTTTACTGCTGAATTGAAGTAGAAGAATTATTTTAGTCAAATCTTAATTTGATGAAAATATGAACTTTATACCTACGTTGGCGTCTGGCCTTAGGTGCTCCGTGTAGACTACAGGTAGGATCCTCACAATTTTTTTAAAATTGAATATTTGATTTAATATTGTAACAATTTTTAATTACTCTATTAGTGTGTTTAACGTATTAATTTTAGAGTTTCTCCGATCACAGCTTAAGGGATGTGAGTTTTGAACCCATATCCTGTGCCGGTCATACCTAATTTTTAGGGTGTGACAATTGAAGAGTGTACAAGGTATATTATCAATTTGGAAGACATACTTGGGGTGTTTGGAAATGGTTAGTCAAGAGAATTAAAGGTTATATGTTTATTCAATACTTTAGAATGTCGTATATTAGATGCTTGATAAAAAGTTTAAGGAAAAACTTTTACATATAAATTTTATTGCTAAAATTTCAAAGTTATTTTTATTTTGTTTTGTTGAATGGTTTCCCATTAAAAAGATTTGTTAATTCAAAAGTAAAGTTCATTAAAATTTTATTATTCTTTACAAGATAATTGTAAGGAAGGTAGCTTGATTGGAGTTGTAAGAAATGAATTTTGAGTTTTGAAGATTCTACAGGTAAGTGGATAGCGTCGCAACTGATATTTCATTGAAGTCTTTTTTTTTTAATATTATATTTTTATGCAAATTATTTTTACGACAACAATGTGATTATGAGAAATTTTATTGATTAAATTACTTTATTTTGTGAAATTATTTTATCAAAATTAATCATTTTGGTTAATCAGTAAATAAAAATTTAAATTTTAATTGTGGAATTTTATTTTTTTAAAAATTATTTTTATAACATTAATGTGATAATTGAATATTTGTTGATTAACATTATTTTATTTTGATAAATTAGCTTTATCAAATTTAAAATGTTAATTGGTTCCAAATTGTTGCTGAAATCATCCCTCCTTCTTCTATTCCAATCCTCTAATACAAACCACTCTTGATCTCCAACAGTCAACGCTTCTTCCCAACTCTTTGTCTGGTCTGCAAATAACCATGGTCCAAATCTAGGCTCATTTGAATTGTACTCAGATCTCAATCATTCTAAAGCACAGCCACGAAAAGCTTGATCTAATATGCCACATTTATAACACAGATTCAGAAGCTTTTCATATTTCACCTTAATCCGCAATCTCCTACCATCCGGACGTCTCATCCAAAAACCAACAATCAAAGGTCAGATCAGCATCACAACTCTGAATCTAAGAAAACCATGTACCATTTTATCATTCCAGTTCTGATCTTCAACCAACACAACTCTCCCAAATTTCGCCCCCAACATCATTACATTCATAACATTCATAGCTTCTAAAGGGGCATCATGCAATTGAACCCAAAAAGGGCAAGAATCAAATTCAATTTCATCAACAATAGCATACTGACCTCTCTCCTGTAAACAGAGTAAATGACCTTGCACTGAACATGGCCTACCTCGAAGAATCCGACGACCTTCTTAAATCTCCAGAATCTTGAAAAGATATAAGTTCTTCCGGTCTATCCATAATATTCCAGGCACGCTGAAAACATTGTGTTGCTACCAATCCTCTTTTTCGATAAAACTTTCCCTGCATATGCAGCGATCGTATCCTCCAGACATAGGAAAAGCCCTCACACGAGCGAAGAGAAGAGCCAAACCCTCACGCACGAGCGGAGAGAAAACTCACATTAAAGCCGATTCAATCGAACAATTAATGAAGATGTTACCCAAGATATAGAGAAAAAATACCAAATAACAGTTCACCTTTTTCTATTCCTCATATTTTAATCCAACAATTTATAGGACTACTAAAAAATGGTTAAAATAAATTTGTTTAAGACTACTATTTAACTCATCGTTTTATTTATTTCTAGTCAAGCATGAATTTTTAAATGTTGATAAAATTCTTACAATTGCAATGTGAACACTCACTGAATGAGAATATGTAGACACTCAAAAAATTGAAATCCTCTAAATATTGCTTTCTTAAGTAACAATAACTTGAAGGAATATAATGGTGTTTTCTTCATCTTAAATAAAAACATCAAGATATATAATATATTTATTACTCTCTATGGTTCTTAATATAAGACTAAGTATATTAATTCAAAGATATTAAAGAAATTAGTTAAGTTTTTGTTCTTTGTCATCATTGTATAAAAAATATGTGTATCACTTATCCTAAAATGCCTCCACAAAGAGAGAACAATAAATGTTAGAAAAAACAAGAAAAACTGTGAAACTGATGAGGGTAATTTATGAAAAAAAAAAATATTAAATAAATGAGACAAAGAAAATTGAGGTCCGATATTAAGGACCAAAACAAATGCTTCAACCAAGTGTATATTTAGGTCTGGAGGAATACTAGTAATTTTTAATTAAGCTTAATATAAGATATTTTTTAATTTCATTTTGGCTCCTTTAATTTCTTTTTTTCTTGTATTGCACTTGCTATCTTAGGCATGCTTGATTCGAGCTGAAGGGGCTGCTTAATGAATAACAAAACTAAAGCTAATAAGTATCCAACATTTTTGTGACCCAAATATTTAATGCAATTGCATTCTTAAGATTTGAACCCACAATTTTTAATTAAGTTGGTATAACTCTCTAATCATTTTTTTAATCAAAACTCTCTAATCAGTTGAACCAAACATTATATAATTTTTGGCTACCTTCTCTAAAAGTGAGCAACAAATCCAAGGCAAAGTTTGGTACACAAAAATTCTGAGTGCGGAAATTGAATAAAAAACAATTCCTGATATAATGAAGACTTGTTTGGTACCATATAGATTTGGGAGGATAAAAGAGTGGTCCTGGTGGAACCAATTAATTTAAAATAAGTCTTAAATATTAAACTTTAAAAATTTATAAATTTAATTTCATTATGATAAATTTATAACTTGTGTTTCATATTTTAATTAGGAAAATAATTTTATTTATTATTCAATTATGTTAAAATTTTAAAAAAAAGTTGCAAATTTATTATAATAAAATTGTAAAATTAAAAATCGAACTTGTAAATTTTTAAAGTTTAACATTTAAGACTTAATTTGAATTAATTGATCTTTTTGCACTTATCTATCATTCTCCCTATAGATTTTGATTAATCATTATCCTTAGTAATAAAATACCAGCAAATTTTCTTGAATTTAATTTTATCTAAGGCACAAAAAAAACCGGTTAAAATATTGCTCGCTGTGAATTCCATAGGTGGTTGCGAAATCAATCAATGGCTTACATTATTTAGAAATTGGTTTAATATAAATTAATTT